CTGGCAAAGTCTCCAGGTCATTCTGAGTGACAACCAGTTCCTCAAGGGCTGCCAGACCACCAAGCGACTCAGGAAGGTGAGTCAGGGCATTGTCATCCAGACGCAAAAGTTGCAACTGACTACAACCTCCCAGACTCTCAGGCAGTTCCTGAAGGGGAGAATACACTTATTAGTTTAAATCAGTGCATAACTGTAGAATATTCCACTGGACAGAACTTTGTTGAATATCATGGAAACTAGCAAATTGAAGATTGAAAAGGCAACTGCACTATTAAATGCTCCTGAAGATTACCTTAAGATTATTGGATGAGAGATGTAGATCTGTGAGCACTGCACAGTTTTCCAGTTCTCCAGAGACCCAGTCTATTTTATTCTTTGATGCATCAACATGAAGCAGTTTCTTCAATTTGCCCATCATGGGTGGAAGTGACTTCACTTTGTTATTGTCAAACAAGAGTTCAGTCAAGTTGCCAAGACTTCCAATCACCTCTGGCTGAAAACAGACAGAGACATTTGTTAGAGTTTCATATCATAAACAAAATAATATAACATAATAGTCTGCATAGGTTTACAATCTGAATTCTTAAATATCATTCACTATGCAATAAATGGTAAATGTTTCTAGTGACCAAAAGCAAAATAATAAGTCAAGAAAACAAAGTAAAAGCTCACCAATTCGGAGAAGTCATTCTGCCCAATGTCCAAGCGCTGCAGGTTTGTGAGACGTGCGATGGACTTTGGCAACGTATTCAGCTGGTTTTCCCTTAACTCCAAAATCTTCAACTTGGACAATCGGCCAAAGTTAGCAGGAAGGTATTCCTGGAAAATGCATATTGTTGAAATTATGTTTTGAAAAAAAGAAAGTAATATGCCAAATAATGCAATAATATAAGTTTCTATGTAAACCTCTTCATCTATTTTCAGCTCTCAGGTCCCAACTGATGGAGCAGAATAATATTCAACACTAAGATACAGCCCCCATTATTGAGAATCAATGCGCACCCTCATCAGCATCATCGAAAAGGAGTAACTCATGGACGTGAAGCTAAAATAACCAGCCGAGCAGGTCACGGTCAAAGCAGTCTCTGACCAGAAAGTCTACCTACCAAGAATGTGTCATTTAGATAAAGTTCTTGCAGAGAAAGCAGCTGTGTGAAACCCTCAGGTAGACGACACAGGGGGTTGATACTGGCATCCACCACAGCAAGTTGCTTGCAGCCTTTAATATTGTCTGGGATGTCTGAAATGGCTGAGTAAAGAAAAGAAGAAGCAGTTAGCTTAATAGTGTGTGATTATAGCTTTAAAATTATTCTGGAAATAACTAGTGCATATGCAACTAGAAAAAAAATAAGAATATTGCATTTAACACTCACAAGGGATGAAATGCATCAAAATAAAGCAAATGATAAAGGTACCAAACTTCCTTAACCTGACTGACCCTAACACATGTAAGAATTGACCTGATATTCTTTTACTGATCTTCAAGCAAATGTCCAGACTGGAAGACATTGACTTTGACATGAAATATGTAGGATTTAATGCAATGAACAACTACAAGATGGAGTAACTTTTTCCTGTCTAGTGTTTTAAAAAAAATAAAAATTATCCTTTTACAAGCAATTTTTTATTGGCTTAACTGTGAGGAAAATCTGTGAGGACTGACACAGAACAACTATACTCCACTTACCATTTTTGCTGAGGTCTATGGAGGTTAAATTGATGAGGGATGCCACAGCTGGTGGAAGGGATGTCAACTCATTATCACTTAGCCCAAGCTCCCTCAAGCCATGGCAGTAGAACAGTTGACGAGGTAACTCAGTCAGCTGGAAAGATAGGAACACATTATGAACTGGAAACATGGTTAAGAGCATCTGTCTTCTTAATATTTCCTCTTCTTTTTTCTCCATTCATAAAACTTGATTATAGAGTGTATCATTATATTTCAAAGCTTCATTAATTTTTCTTTCATTACAAAAGGATTTCTAACATCTATCCTATATCTATACCTTTCTTATGACTAATATGATTTCATAGAAAAATTACAATTACCAACTGCTAAGTCAATGAGGCTGCTCAATGGCAAACACTGCAATACCTATCAACCCATTCCAACTGCAAAAAGGAAATGTAACCAAAACTAATCAAAAGCAATGCAAGTACTGCTCTTGCACTGAGGTTCTTATTTGGGGCCAGAATGAGTCTTCCATGCATGCATATTACCGACTCCCAAAACCAGTTTCGCAATTAGCAAACTTTTAAACTTGAAATAACATCACTGCTCTTTTGGTTTTCACAGACACACACAAAGGGCAACTTAAGGACCTACCTGATTCGAATCCAAGAGCAGCTCCTCCAAGGTGCGTTCTGAAGCAAACACATCGGCAGGCACATCATTGAGAGCAGAGTGACGGTAATCAAGCACCCGCACATCGTCACTCTCCCCCTTCCCCCCGCACACAAAACAAGCAAGCAAGGAAGGCATCTCGACAACCCTCAGGAA